GTGGCTCGAGAAGCAGAGGGTAAGAACCTCGCAGGGGATAGGATCCACGACAATGATAAGGGGATGGGTCGTCTGCGAGATTGTCTCGAGTGCGAGAGGGACGAGTGCGGGAATCCAACGGCACAGACGGGTGAGAGACGGACCAAGCGAACGAGCCGCGTTAGGGTTGAGGCCCGCGGGTTCGAGAGAAAGAAGGGAGGAGGGGGAAAGATAGATTTAGGTTTAGGGATTAATAAACAAACGTCCCCTCTAGGCAAAATCGATGTTCCGGACGCATCGGCACAGTCAGTTTCGTTATCCGGAGTCATTTAGATGACTTCGTCGACGATTGGGACTAAAACGCGTTGCGACCCAAATTACGTCAAGAATTCGGCTCGAATTTGATTAAACAGGATGGCGAAGAGCGCGGCGGCGCCAAATCAACGAGTACAGTCAATTCTAAGGCCGACAGTTCTATGGGAATACTTTCTGAGTTTCTTCAAAGTAGTCTTACCTACTAAACAATGGCGATTAAAACTACTATATGGAACGTCAAGTCGAGAAGAAAAGTTCAGAATTGTTAACGGGGAGGGCTCCTTCACTAGTTTTCTAGGAATAGTCGACATAAAAGTCCTACGGCTAGATCCTAGGCTACTAAGGAGGGGAAAACTGCACCTCGATCGAAAGCGAGGTCAACACGTAGTTTCATACACCTTTTGCATGTTAAGTGTCATTGATCATCTGCATTGAGTATTTGATCGGTGAGCTTTAGTTCATTCGCTTGTTGAGCATGTTCATATAAGTTTTAAGCGGCAATTACATTTATAGCACACATTCTTATGCATTTACATATCTCACGCCTAAACTTTCATATTTTCACACATAGCACTCAAATCTTTAATATCACATAAAAATAACACTATTACCACTTTTTAAAATTAAAATCCACCTTTTCATACATAGGTTTAAAACACCAAAATGTTATGTATGTAAATATGCAAATTTAGGTGCGAGATAAAATCCACTTTTTCATACATAGGTTTAAAGCACCAAAATGCTATGTATGTAAATATGCAAGTTTGGGTGTGAGATTGATACAATCAGAGACAAATTTTCCACAGAAATTAGGGCAAATAAATATTTTATTGCAAGAACATCAAACAACTCGACACAAATACAACTGAGCACCTACAATTCGAGAGTTAGGCGATCTCTCCCAAATCCTATAATTTGAGATGTAGTAAATCTCCCCCAAACCCTAACCCTAAGATTCAAGACAATAATCTCATGCATAACCCCAACCCTAAACATATTAACCCCGTTTATACCCAACATGAATAATAATAAAAAACTAATTTGCTCTTAGGCTAATAAATGCCAAAATTGTCCTTAAGCATTGACGTAATAATATTCCCCTCCCAAAGAAGAATCTCGTCCACAAGGTGGATGAAAGAAAATTGATGTATGATCAAGCTCTCTTGCCTCCTTGTCCATGCTGTGAGAACCCGCAGCATATGATCCTTGCAACGATGCCCTGGGGTCAACTTTTCATCACACCAAAAATATAACTTTTTTGCTTGCTTCTCTTGAATCTTTATCTTTGTAAGGAGTTTGAATGTTAATCTCAGTCATGACCCAATTGCTCATGTCCTGTGGAGCCTCCCTCTAGACTTTTATTGTTCGAGTATTTGTTATCATCGTGATTGTAGCAGTTCGGTATGACACTTCACTCCTGTTGATCCTATTAGCCCATTCAATTGTATTTTTATCTTTAACCAACTGTGTTAATTTCATAGTTTCCTCCTATCTTTGCAGTCTCGACATATGAGGGATGCTCGAATCAGTGGCCTCAATTCTATTGTGAATTTTTCTTCCAATATCCCTTTGGACTTTCACTGTTCGAGTTTTTTGTATCATAGTGATTGTAGTAGTTCGGTATAACACTTTACATGTGCTACTCCTATTAGCCCTTTCAATTCTATTTTTATCTTTAACCAACTATGCTAATTTCATATTTTCTCCCTATCTTTGCGATCTCAACATACGAAGTATGCTCAAATCAATGGCTTAAATTCTATTGTGAAGTTTTTTGTCCAAAACTTCTCAGTATCCCTCTCAAACGGCTAGATAGCATCTCAAATTTCTCCATATACTCCATGATGGTCTTTTCCTGAGTTAAGGCAAAGAATTGCTCGTGTAAGTTTCCTTCCTGAATGACTTGAAAACGTTACAACAAGCAATCCTTAAATTCCTCCCGCGATCAAATTAGATATCTAGCTTTCCTCTACTAAAACCATGCCTGGGCATTTCCCTCCAAAAATAACCCTGCCGCTATGTGCTTCTCCTCATTTAGCCCATTCACCACGAAGTATCGTTCAACCCAGTACGCCCACTCATGTGTGTCTTCCTCTTCTAAGATCGACATCTTCAACTTCTTAACCCTAACATCCTCTCCCTCCAGTGTTTCCCCCCATTCATATAGGGTAAAACTTCTTTCTTCAATTATAGTCATACCCCATCCCGGTTCCTCACTTCATTCTTCATGCTCCTCCGTACCCTTTGCATAACCCGTTCTCCATGTTTTGGCCCAACTGTTTCCAATCGGAAAGCTCTATTCCCACCCCCCACCGGAGCCCTGAAAGGGGTTCTTAATGGTGGATGCTTTCCTCATGTTCATCTCGTCCAATCTTTTTCCCATTTTATTGAGCCAAGAATTTTCCTGACAATCTTTGATTAGAGTTTGCAAATTGAACAATCGGCAGAGTCTTGGATTACATCTCGATTAGCCTCCTCATCTCCTCCAAGTTCTTGAATCAATTGTTAATGGGTGAAAACTTTTCATCTATGGTTGAGAACCTTTTTTCTATCCCTGATTTGATTTGGCTCACCTTTTCCTCCAATTTCTTCTCCAAATTATGAATTTTCTTGGCCGCCATTACTCAGACGGATTTTGAGCAAGAGTTGTATGTCGTGATCCAGTCAGCTTCCCAGTTAGCTCAAATCACGACTATTTCACGAGGTCACAAAGATGACGTTGTAGGGCCTCAATTTCGTCAGCTTTGTCAAATCACAACTATTTTGAGTTCGATCGCGACAAAGGCACCTGCACGCTCCGCGATGCTTTCTAGCTAGCTCCAATTGCAACTGTATTGCAAGATTTGGTTGTACGCCACAATCCAACGTGGTCTATCATCCATCTCAGAATCAAACGTCCAGGGCATACGCTTCTCAGATTATTGCGTTGTTGGCTTCACAACTAGCTTGTATCACAATTGTATTGCTAGATTAGGTCATGCGCTGCAATCCTATTCATTGGCATCCTAACTAGGTCAAATCGTGACTGCTGTGCACTATGATCCCGTGCTTTGCTTCTTAGCTCGTCCTATCACAGCTTTATCGTGACTGATCCTTCCCGCTTCCCTGTTGTCTTTTATTGTGACAAGGTTGTAATCGGGAGGTTATATGGACACCTTTGTTTTGAAAAGTGTAAATGTAGCATGCCCAGAGGTGGGGTGCGAGCCAATTCGGCCCAAGCACACGAGAGGCTTACGCATCAGACCACCCTATACGCCTCTAGAGCTTAATTTACGCCCTAATGGGGCATACAGCTCACTATTTAGGTAAATAAAGGAGAAAAAAATCCTTAATTTCCTACACTTGTCGTAACAAACTCTTTCGTCTCTCCCACAGTTGCACGAAGACAACCATTGCTTTGTATCCTTTGTCTCTCCCACAGCCGCACGCAGGTGCACCCGCAATAGCCGTTTTATCATCTCTCGCATACAGTCGATCTCGCACGCAGAGGATTGCCACCATCCCGCTTCCTCTCCCGCAGACACTCTTCCTCTCTCTTGCAGAGCGTCTTTCTCTTGTAGACGCTCCTCCTCTCTCCCACCCATAGATGCTCTTCCTCTCTCCCTTAGCTAGATTTTATTAGGTAATAAAATTAGACGTGATTTTTAAGAAATTAGTAGATAATTTTACTGTAGCTACAGTATAGTAATTTCACTGGTTTAACTTGCTTTTTTATTTTGATGAGTAAGTTCTTAACTTATACTTGAATTTACTGCAGCTACAATAATTTCATTGTTTTTAATTGATTTTTTTTAATATTGTGGGGCTTACATCTAATGCCCTGGGGCTTACATCTAATGCCCTGGGGCTTACACCTTTTCACGTAATAACTAAAACGCCCCGCCCAACTCCCACTTTTTTTAAAACTTTGATGGACACCTACTGAATCACAAGCTTCAATGCCGAGGGCGATGAAATTCCTCTACGCAACAATCTAGTGGTTGATTTTCTGGAGCTCGAAGGCTCTAATACCCAATTTGATACGACCGGAGATGATTTTCCACAACAATTAGGGCAAATGTTTTATTGTAATAACATCAAACAACTCAACACGAATACATAAGGCAAGCACCTAAAATTCGAGAGGTAGGCGATCTCTCTAAAATCCTATAATTCAAGAGTTAGGAAATCTCTCCCAAACCATAACCCTAAAACTCATGACAACACAACAATCTCTTGTGTGGACCCAACGAAAATTCCTCTACGCAACAATCTGTGGTTGATTTTCGGGAGATCGAAGGCTCTAATACCCAATTTGATACGACTCGAGATGATTTTCCACAACAATTAGGGAAAATGAATGTTTTATTGCAAGAACATCAAACAACTCAACACGAATACATAAGACAAGCACCTAAAATTCGAGAGGTAGACAATCTCTCCGAAATCCTATAATTCAAGAGTTAGGAAATATCTCCCAAACCATAACCCTAAAACTCATGACAACAATCTCTTGCATGGACCCAACGCTAAATATATTTAGTCCTATTTATACCCAATAGTAATAATAATAAAAGACTAAATTGCTCTTAGGCAAATAAGAGGTTAAATTGCCTTTAGACACCGCCACAACAGAAATATGAAAATACATAAGAATTGTGTGTGAACTATGTAAACCTCCCATGTTTTAATCATCAAATTTATTCAATTATTTCCATGTATTGCAGATGATGGAGTGGTGGTATCAATCTGCTGAAGAGAGAATGTCAGCTCCAACAGTTTATCCCCCACCTCCCCCACCACCTCAACCAAAGGTATTTTGTGACATTATGGTCTGGTATATCAAATTGCTCTTTTTTTTTTGTCGTGCATTTATTTGCACGGCTTAGCCTGGCGATGCATGCAGCCTTGATCTCATGTGCTTTTATTATTGAAATATGGTTTCTGGAGGTACTGAAATTTACTTTTACTTTCGGATCAACATGTCATTTTTGTTCCAACAAATAGCAAAAACTCTATGTATAAATTGTGCAGAATTTTTTCCTTTACATATTGTTTGGCAACTTACCTTGTCTCTCCTAAAAAGTTTTTCATCATAGCTACTGATCCTGTATTCTGGATTTTATGAGGCAATGTGTTTTAACCAGAGAGTGAGATAAAGTTTTCCTGTTGGAATGTTTAATAATTTTTCTGGTTATAAATTTCTAGTTATTCCAGAAGTAAGAGGCCAAAAATGCATAACCTCTTTTACATATTGAATTCTTTTCTATAAGTAAAGGCAAAGCAAGAGGAAGAGGTAAATTTAGTATGCATTTCTCGTTAATTTCCTTCAAAGTCCTATCAATCCAATGGGGAAAGTAATTTAACAATCTAAGCACACATGAATAGAAATATAAAAGTGTAGTTGAATGAGATGTGTAATAGATATGGTTAGTTCATAGAAAGACTGTTCAAATCAATGTAATTATATCAAACTCAAACATATTAGCATACAACTTGTAATCAATTAAAACAACCTACAATTGTAACGAAGCAAACATTCTATGATCCATAAATTCCAGTAAGCTTGATGTGTGAGTAGTGATTTAGTAAGCACAACAAGGTGTTTACTCAATCATACAAGCTAGTGAGATGTTTGATCATCAAACAGCAATGATAATTTAATCATGCATAAATATATTTGAATTCATGTGTGATAATTTTTAAAGATAATTTGTCATTTGTGATAATTTTTAGTGTCATAGATTTATTATACTGAAAAATGGAGATATAAATGAGGATATAACTTTTACAGCTGGACAGTTAAAATAGAGAAGGGTGTTAGGAATTTTATGTAAGAGAATATTAAGGAGGCTTAAAGATAAATTTTATGAAACCACAATTAATTTGACTTTGTTTTATGGATCTAAATGCTTGGCGGTGGGAAAGGTTATTAGTATCTAAGTTTAAGTGTGCAGAAATGAGAATCCTAAGATGAACTCATGATAAAATTAAGATAATTAAAGGATGATTATATCAGAGAAAATGTTGAAGTGACGTCTGTGAATGATTAGGTAATCAAAAATAGGCTAAAGTGTTTTGAAAATATGCAACAAAACATGTAAAGTGTATCCATTAGATAAGTTGATAAAATTAGTTTTAGAAAATTGTAAAAGAAAAAGTAGACTTATGATTTCATGAATAGAAGCTATTCAAAATGGCATTTGAATAATTAACACCTTAGATTCCTCTCAACCATAACTAATAAATGGTTATTCATAGCACCAAGCCAAATCTTTGGGACAAAGTTGACAGTGATACAAAGATATATGCTAAATGTGAGAGAATTAAAATTTGAGCATAAGTATTATATTGTACTTAATAATTCAGCATAAATGCATATTTTAAATCATCACATAAGCATGTAAAATAACAAACCAAACATAAAAGTGGAAGTAAATGACTAAGAGGTTGATACAATATATTTGTTATGTGATTTTTCCTGCTGGCATACATTTACGCTTAAGGCACTTCCTTGCTTATGATTCCATATAACCCATCATTCTGGCGGAGAAGCCATCTTATTTAGGATTGACTAGCCAAATAACTCTTATTTTCCTGCATTCAATAAATATATTTACTACATCTTTCCTTTTAGGCAAGGCAAACAATACCTCTGGGTTATAACAAGAACCTTCCAAAGTCCTTATGAACTTTGGTGATGCATCAAGGTTATCACCAAGCTAATAAGGACAACTTTCATTATAATCTTAGATTGTACATATACAGATACAAATTAAGAGAGAAAGAGAGAGAGACTTAAAGGCTTTCAATCTTTGCATTTTCCTTATCATTTCTCACATTAATATAAGCTTTATATATAGCCATGAGATGCACCAAAAATCATATAAAATTTCCTCCAAGAAAATAAAAAAACTTTGGATACTGCGAAGAAATGGCTCCCAATTGCTCTTTAAACTAACCATTAGAGCTTGAGGGAGCCTGAATAGCAGTTTCATAAATAAATGAAAGTTTTTTTCATAATTTAATGGTGTTCTAAGATAAATACGTAGTAGTGTATATGAAAATTTATATAAATAACTCAATTAATGCAACGGAATAGGTATTAAGCTCAAATGGTTTATTAAATGGTAATTATCATAGATAATTAGTTAGCATAGTTAGTATATAAAATCATATTCAGGAAAATAAATGGTAAATAAGGCATAATAAATATTAAATTAAGCAATATAAATTGCCAAAAAATATAAAATGTTTTTTTTTTTAATTTCAAAGAGATTTTATAATATTTATAGCTAAAAACCCTTTTACTCTTAATTGTTTCGTCATCCTACAACGTTGGTTTAATTAACTTATATAAATTCAAATGAAAAACATCATATCTCACATAACAAGGGGCCCTTTGAAATCAGATTTGATTATTGATTATTTTTTATTCTATTTTGTTTCTGTTTTAATATGAAAAAAGAGTATATTTGATTTCTTAAATATTAGTTGTTTATGTTTATGTTTATGTTTTTATTGAGCATCGCATTAGGTGATTTATTTGTGATTCGGAAAAAAGTGATGAATTCCGGATTGGAGTTGTTGGTTGACCTAACAAAGTTGTTATTGGTTTTGATATGCTGCTGGTTGGCAGCTGATTCATGAGTTCAGGAGGTCGGGAGTTCATGTTTTGAAAAAAGAAATGAAAAACCGAAAAGTTATTTTGAGTATTTTTTAAAATAATTTGATTAATTTTAAAAATTTAGAAAAAGCGAAGGCAACATTAACAAATTATGTTTTCTCCAAAATTTTTAACTAAAGTGCATTGGAGACATGAATTTGAGCCCTTGAGTCTTTTTGAATGCATTGAATACAACTTCAGTTTATCTTCAAGTAGCTAGTGGTTCAAGCTAGTCCAGGGGAACCTATCATCATTTCCGTGGTTGTTCATGATGGTTTAATTCTATTGAGTGCTATAAGCAAATCATTAGATAACATCATATAAAAATTGGTATCATCAGATCCTTAATTAGCCACACAAACTCATGAGCTTTGCAATCCTCTCCTATTCCATTAGGACAAATTTATACTGGTGTAAAATTTATATAAATTATGAGCAAATCCATACTCCACTAGATGATTGAAATAAATCTAATTTACTCCCCTTAAGTTCTGACAATCTACCCAACATTATACACCAACATAATAATTTTTTCATTTTGATATCGTAAGATGGGCTCGTCTGCGGTGCTGTTGGGATTTGCGAAAGACTGGAGGTGTACGGGAGGGGAGCAAGCTGCTCGTCCGTGGTGCTGAAGTGAGCTATGAACGATTGAGGACGAACTGCCTGTCTATGGCACTGGGAGGACCCACGAATGACTGAGAGGCGAACAGGGGGAAGTAGTAGCGGCACATCTGTGTTGCTGGGAGGATCTGCGAATGGTTGAGAGGTGAACAAAGAAGGGATTGCGGCCCGTCTGTATCGCTAGCGGGAACTGCGGTCGGCTGAGGCGAGTAAGGGGCAAGACCAGTGGCCTCTCTGTGCGGGTGACTGACAGGGGAGAAAGGAACAGTGGGGAGATACACAAATACTGATTAAACATAAGAAAAACACCATGCATAAATAGAGGAAGACTAGTAGCTAGCATAGGCAAGATCTACGAAAGGAATGGGGGTGAAAATGAAAGGGATTGAAGAGGGATTGCATAATCTAGGAGAAGAGGTGGGTGGCAGATCTGCGCAGAGCGCAACAGAGGGGTGAATCTTCCAGTTCAGCCGATTGGCATATGAGCCCTGCTTCAGCCATATAGAAACCTACCCATCAAAGAAAAATAACGATGAATAAAGTATTGAATGACACACACACACACTATGTATGTATATATGGTGCGCACATGCGTTTGAATAATGAGATTATTAAGTTCCATTAGTTTGATTATACCGAATATGTATTATTAGTCCCCAAGCTAAAGCTAAGCTTGTTTTCAAATATAAATTATACAATACTAGTTGGTAGAGAACTAAACATGGAATCATATAAAGTTGAAGTAAAATCATTTGAAGTTTAGTCATGTGAAGTTCGTTGATTATAATTTAAAGTTATACTGAAACAAACAAAGCCTAATCCATGATTCATTTGAGATTTTTATAATACAAGTTAATCATGCAAAGACCTAAACATACAATTCTAGGTTTCAATTAGTAAGAAAGTGTATGCAACAAAACTATGCAACTTAGACTAAACATATTTTAATTATATACCATATGCTAGTAGCTATACTTCTGCAGTCATAAAAAAATATAAATTATTTTAGGCTTGATGATGATTAACTTGTTATGAAATTCAATCTAATGATTAAGACTTAGTAAGAAAGATGTTAAAGTTACATAAAAAATTTTCCCTCATAGCATGCCTTCCAAACTTGATTTTGAACATACTCATTTTTATGTTATCTGCCATTAGTGTGTGTACTCTAAAGTTCACCAGCATGCCTTCATCGTTCATTGATGAGACGTCTCCATATCAACTATCTTCTATTTGATTTGGCCATCCAAAAGAAATTTAGTTCTATTAACATTAGTTTTAAGTGCATGCGTAGGTGGGAATAAACATAATATAGTGCTTTTAAGAAGTCATCAATGTGAATTTGATCTATTAAAGCTCCTTTATCTCCTAAAAACACAAAGATTAGCTACATTCACTTTTTTTTTTATGAACATTTTTTTTTTCAGACAAATCGTGCATATAATACATATTAAATTCATCATGTTATCTAGTAGTGCAACAAGAATCTGTAGCTAAGTATAGGAGGTAGCAGTGGTATATTGTTAGTAGTTAATTGGTAAATCTGTTTATTTGACTTTGAGTCTATCATATCTATTTTTCGAAGATTTAATTTCAACATGAAAGAAATCAATAATATAATTGTGAGATTAAAACAGCCCAAACTCTCAATCATTGAGATTTTGTTCGTTTTGGCCTAATGGTCTCATGATTTTGTCCTATTGGTGTGACTTCTCAAAAGGTCACCCATCCTAGACAACATCCTACACAACAGTTTAGATGTAACGTCTCACGGTTCAACATGGATGCTAGCCATTTTCTGTTAGGGAATTGATGAACTATAAAGCTAATCATTTCAATCAGATCTATCCTCGACGACAGTCTAAGTCACTCCAATTACAATTTTACAGGTAGCTCATGATGGAATACCATTGCCTCCCGACCGAACTATCTGTCCTCTTTGCACCCAGAGAAGGGTGAACCCATCAGTCGTGGCTGTCTCTGGTTTTGTCTTCTGTTATTCTTGCATATTTAAGTATGTCTCACAGGTGAGAACCACAACATGCTCACATACAAGTCTCCTCTCTGCTGGTTTATTGAAAGCCATTGTTTTATTAATGAAAAAGCCTCAAAATAGTCTCTTGTTTTTTTGCAAGGGGTTATTTTAGTCCTAATATATAGAAGTGCCAAATTAATTCCTAAACTCTTTTAATATGGGCTGAAATTGTTTCCACGAAGGATTATTTCAGCCCCTATTAAGAGTTTAGGGATTAATTTGGCAATTTTATTAACTATGGAACTAAAATGTCCCTATGTAAATAGTCAAGAGTATTATTTTGGCATATTACTCTTTTATTAATGAAATGTCGGATTCCTTTGCTTGTGTGCAGTACAAACGGTGCCCTGTCACATTGTTGCCAGCATCTGTGGAGCAGATCAGGAGACTCTTCCATGATTTATAGCAGGCATTAAAAGATCATATGCAGTTCTAGATGTTTTTCAATACCGGCACAAACTTCAAAGCGAGTACGACCCACTCATCATTTGATATGCTGTCATCTTTCTAAAAGAAATCATTTCATGATTTACAAATTGTGACAATGTCCAGTTTCAATAGTTCTTAGATTTCATCCTAGTTCTGTAAAATCAGAGAAAATTGTTCTTGAAAGTAGAGGTTTCTGTACATCATTAGGCAGGTTAGTGTATAATATCTAGATGAAAAAGCACTCTCAAGCGTCATTTGTACTTATTTTCAATAAAGTTTGGATTAAGGGTGCATTTGGGGTAGCTTGTGCTTATCCAAATAAGCCGCTTATATGAAAATGCGGACCGCAGGGTGTGACCTGCGTTCCGTGTTTAGTGTAAAAAGCCATCTGCGTTTTCAGATAAGTTGTTCAAATGCAGCTTTCAAATAGTGAGTCGGCGTTTTCTAAACGCCGCTTAGCGGATGAGCGGCACCAAATGGAAAGTTGACATGAAATATGTTGGAAGGCTTAGAGAGGGGTTTATGGTAAGTTTAAAATAGCCTGCTGCTGGTATAGTGAAGATGTATTATTTGGTTGTATTTATGCATCTGCTTCATTTAATAAATATGGCTGAAGCCTAGACTTCCATACAGAATTATGTTGTTTCACTCTGTTTGGTTCTCCAACTTTGTTAGATTTACAGAATACGATGGCAGTGTATTATAATTTGAGTTGTTGATGTATAATCAAATGGTTGTCTAGTGATGGTACCTATGAAACTCGTTTCACTTTGTACTAATTATTGGATTTGATTATGCTTCTATTTTCCATTCATTTATGCTCAACATTGTTGGCGTGAATTTAAATATTTGGTTTTTTAACCTCTTGCAATGTCAATTTGATTTATATTTTTCTTTTTAATCTCTTCTGTTTAAGTTGATATATGGGGCTATTGAGGCGGATGAAACTTGTATTAGGTTGATCAATCATCAATGATGATGATGATGATAAAGGATTAGATTCAAATCAAGTTCCACCCTTCATTAGTTATTATCTCTTGAAATTGTAATCCATAAATAATTGTTGGAGATCATGATGATTTCATTGAAATTGTATGCATCACAATCGCTCGAATCTTTTTCCATGTCATCTAACGGCCACATCACAACTTGTGCTCCGATTTTCTTCCATGTTCTTCGAGAGAACTTTCTTCTAAACTCCTGGACGCACGCTTGCTTGCTCGCTCGCCACATGCTTTACTCTCTCTCGTGATCCACTTCTCTTTGCTCACTTATAACCTAGTAACCAATCTATACCATGTTTTCTTGTTGTCTGACTCCATTGCCTTGTTAGCCAACAATCCTCTCTTCGAAGCTCACTCATCGTGCCCTGTTCTTGTAGCCTAATATGACTTGCTCAAATTCTACCTTTCTAGCATATCACCTTCTACTTCTACTTGATCTTGTCCAGTTCTTCACTTATCTCTAGCACGAGTTTGCAACCCTAGCTTTTCTTGAAACTCCGACAACCTCTCTCTTGACCTCACTTGAACTATCACGCCCTGACTCAGGAGGGTAGTTCACCCCGAAAATGTAAGGCATACCGAAATAAATTAAATGTTTTATATTTTCAAAGAGAAGATTGTATGCAAATAATAACACGAATAAACAAAGATATAAATTTTAAACAAAAAAATCAATGAGTGAATTTGACATTGAAATAAATTAAACTTATTTTGTATTCTTAAAAAGGAAATTGTATGCAAATGATAACATGAATAAACAAAGAAATATAAATTTTAAACAAAAAATATCAATGAATGCATTTGACATACAAAATTGGTAAATAATAATTATTTATTAAAATATAAACAACAAGAAAAATATGACATTCGGAATGAACAATAAAATAGACACATACTGTGTATATATATAACATTTTAAGATAGTAAGAGTGTGGTAAATAAAATATATTCAAATATCTTAAAAAACCATGGAATCATTTCAAATTAAATTTTACCAATGCATAAATTGGTAACTATTTATTATCTTGCTTCATTTTATATTTTATATGTATATATTTAGTTTTAACAGACACTCTGAAACCAGTATGGTTAATACCAACTAAAAAAAACCCAACAATTTCTTCTAGAGTCATCAAACTGTGGGTTTGTCAGTCTGGCTAGTTAATATCTAAAAGGATTCAATCGATCTACACGTCATCACACACAAGCATATCATATTTCACGCATGTATAATATGTAAAAAACATGCAACTCCACGCAAGTTTGTGATATGAAATGAATTTACATGCAATTTTATAAAAGTAAAGTATTTGAAAAAAAATATTATAATTGTAAGATTTATTTATATATGTAGATGATTTGTAATAATAGAGTACCATATTGGTGATTTCATCATTATTAATATATGTAAGCCCTTAACAATTGCAAAATAATAAATATAATTGAAGTAATAAGGGCATGACAGACAATCTTATAAAATGAACATGAATCTACCGCAAGCAATACGAATAATGTTCTTAACTAAGAAGAGTAAGTTTTTCCCTCTAATAAAGATTAGTTACTTATCTCAATGTGGCTAAAAAGATACTTCTTCGTGTCAACGGTTTAACTAGGGCTTCTGCATAATTTAGAATTCAACATATGATTACTTAAACAATTAAAGAAACTAAATATAATTGTTTATTAGGTTAGGCGCAAGTTAAATAATAATATATTATTATTGTTATTGTTATTATTATTATTATTATTTATCTTATATATAGAGAGTAGAATAAAAGGAGAGAAGACAAGAATGAAGAGGATGGGTTCATGATGATTGATCGCTCGAGGAAGGTGGAGGAAGGAAGATACAATTTCAGTGATCTCAGTATGCTATGATCCCGTTATTGTCTTCTCAGCTAGCTCCGAACACCACTACGCTGTAAGGGTTAGGTCAGAAAAGCAGTGGTTTTGGGTGAAACTGTGAGCGAGAGGGGGAGGGACACCGATAGGGGTTTCAATGACTACATGAGGAGACAAGGGTGAGGCGTGTGCAATACCCTGACTTTGGCGTCAGTTCTCCTTAAATAGTCTAGAGAGGCGGTAATGAAGCAAATAAAAGGAAAAACGACAGCAACGAATGAAGGAAGAAAATGGAAAGAATCAAATGTTGGTTCGAGATGATCAAATCGGGAAGACAACAGAGTGGAGGAAGAGAAAGTAAATGGAAAACCCAATACTTTATTTGGGAGTTGACCTTTTGAGCCATGATCAACTATATTAGGTCCCTTAGAGCCCGTCAATTAAGGAGTTTATGCTTGGTTTGAAGTGCTTCAGTTTTATCATGTCAGCCATATAATCATCTATTATCATTTAAGAGAAACCATTCATTGATTTTCTTTATCAAAATACATGGATGGAATGACCTCTCATCTTACCATCTTAGACTAAATCTGTAATTATCAAAGGAAATTCATTAGTTTTACTTAAATTTTAGAACAACTTTTCATTTTATAAATATTTTAATGATTTATAAAAGGGTACATGAATTTAATTATTTAGGTTCTCTTTTAATGATTTATAAAAGGGTACATCAATTTAATTATATAGGTTCTCTTTATTAATTGAATTTGAGTGGACAAAACCCAATACTTTATTGTTCATTCAATTTAGCTCCTTGCAAGAAAAACTTAATATGAGCGAACATACAAATAATAAAACGATAGCTCAAAATTCATCTTATGATTTTCAAGGTAAGAATTTTATATTTTATCTAATTAGATTAAGCTCATGATAGCCAACTAAACTAGCACGTGTGACTTTCAAATTTTGTACATCTAAACTAAGGCCACAATGTGCTATATTAGAACATGAGGCTTTTAGATTTTGTTATTCCATATCAAACTTATTGTGGGATAAACTATGGGGTGACATACTTTTACAATTATTATTATTTTTTTTTAATGATTTTGTCAAATTAGACTAAGCTCTTGATGAGCCATGTCAAGATTTAGAGGTTTATTTATTTTTTTTTTAATTCAAATCAAGCTCGTAGTGACCTAAATTAAGAATGAGACTTTGAAGCTTATTAACCTAAAAAGGGATAGAGAGACAGAGAGAAATGATCCCCATCTTAGTGGAGAATGCTTATTGCTAATACAACTTTAATTATATAATTTTGAAACCAAATCTTATATAATGAATTGTGATATAAAAAATAGGAATTACTTAAGGACTAAATTTTATTAATACATTTATCATTATCAAGCATGTAAAACTTTAATACTAACCAAATAAAATATAGAGCACTTTTAAAAGTTTTGATATGCCTATGCATTTCAGTTATCAAAAGTGCCTAAAACATACAAGATGCCATCAACTATCCATATAGATGATCCCAAATCAGTCAAAAACCTTTGCATTATTAAATCATAATCATATATCATATCATGTAATCAAAGCTATCTATTTTATTCATACGATTATTGATCGAGCAATTTTAGGAACTTTTGGAAATCAGAAATGCTAATAGTATTAATTGTATCAAGAGAATAAACTATTTAAATATTTTATTTAATCTGATAATTTCAACATCTAATTAGGTGGAGAATGATAACTCTTCTCCTAAGAGAAAAAAAGAATGCCTCATATTTTTGTGAAGCATGACTCAAATTTGTGTGCAATGAGTGATAGGGAGAGGGACACAATGCTATCATTTCACATTGAAAAGTACATTATGTCACATAGTTTTATTTCATCTTATTTTTTCAATTAAACAATATCCAATGAACAAATCAAGCTCATTCAGCTTAAATGTCACCATAAAATAAGTAGTATAATGTAAAATTTTATCAAATTTTAATATGATTAGATGATACAACATACATCCAAAAGTAATAACATGTAAGTTGGTCTAAAATAAGTAAAAATCAAAACTTAATTTTTTTTAATAAAAATACATTATTTGTGCAAATCAATACGTGAGCTCCAAAAGCATTATAATCATTTGCTGTATTTTGGTGATTTTCTGGTTTTCTTTTATTAGATCAAATGATTTTCTATTAAACTTGTGCTTGCAAATGCATATAAAGTATATATATAT